CAATGGGAAGCCAACAACCCCTATGTTTTGTCAGGTTCATCATTTTTGCTGGTAAAGACTCATGCCACCAAACCCAAGGCAAATGCAATGATGATAACAAAGTTCCCTTGAGAAAAATGAACAACAAAGGTGATGACATGTTGCTTGAAAATATCTGCGGATTTCCACCAGGTGGCACCTGCAAAGATTCAAATGAAATCTTACAAAAACAAGTGAAGAAGCCAAGAAACTGCAAACAATCTTAGGGCAATGCTGGGGAAACAGGAGAGTTCCGGGGCTTGGCCTTGGTCCAAGTATGAAACATCAACCAAAGGCAAGAGTAAAAGAATGGATTGTAACAAATGCACAGAAATGCAAAATGAAGTCTTGATGCTGCCCTGCAGCTGGCCAAAACCAAGTTCCTGAAGATATGTTATTGATGTTCTTTGTTCTATGATGTCCTATGAAATGTCTACGCATTTTCTATGCACTGGTTATGTACTTGTTAAAGACATTTTACAAAGTGAACGGATAATTTATAGAAACCAAGGGAACGTGCATAAGAAGTACATAGAGAATTCACAAGAATCGAACGTGCACAAAAAGTGCAATAAGCAAATGCAAAGAACATGCATAGACAATGCATGTAATATGCAAAGAGATTCATAGACAATTATACAACACTCATGCAACATTCATGGAAAATCACACCAAGCGCATGACAATCATATGTAGGTTGTCTGAGGCATTCACACAAAATGCACTGCTACATCACAGATGCATGTGTCACGCGCTCTACAAACTTGCTCTCAACACGCTCGTTTATTTTTGTGAACTGAAAAGGGGTGCCATCCCTGACCCTCGCTGACGGCGAATGTGTACGACAATCAAGAGGGGTCAAATTTAAGAGGTGGGAATCTGAGATGAAGTCTGGGCCATACTTTTGCCAATACTAGGTTGAGCACTTTATATTGAAGGTTCAGTCTTGGCAATACTTAATTTAGGATTGGCAATAGAAAATAAAGTACTGGAAATCGATTAGTAAGTCTTGCAATATCAAACTTGGAATTGTCAACAGTAACTTAGGGGGCAGTCCCATTCTGATGGGACACCCCCAAGAAAACTCCAGGACACGCAAAGTGCACAGTAAATGCAAACTTCCAAACAACGAACGATGCAAGAAAAACAACATGTCAGCAACCAAGTCCCGTGTTTATTTTGTTTGAGGTGAGTATATTTAGAACTTCCAAGAAACTTCGAGGATTCAAAGACAAAAGCAAACATGTCAGCAACCACGTCCCAAATACAAATTCGATAGCAAACTCAGTACGTGCTATTCCCCAAACAAACAAAAAGCAACAAAACAACATGGAATGTCAGCAGCCGTCCAAACAAACCATCAGTACATGCACTATATCCAAAAAACAAGAGTTCAAACAAAAAACGCATAGCACAGAAAAAATCAAAATGTCGGCAACCATATTCCAGATAGAAATTCCTAACAAACCTTAAGTAAGTGCCAGGTTTCAAGGAACACCTCGAGAATCCCCCAAAACCAAAACACACAACAAACAAGAACATGTTAGAAACCAGGAGGAGCCCTTTGGTGGGTTCCATGTTAGTGGACAGGAGGGTAGTGGGAACCCCGAATGAAGTTAAACCCCTGGTTGATTTTGATTGGGAACTGCCCCCCTTTAGTGGGGACTCAGACAACTCTTCGAGGGAACACTGCCGCTATTAACAGGACCTCACTCCCTCATTTCCTGGACTTTAAACTTTTTGGGAAGACCATTTTAATGGTAAATTAAAAGTTTTGGCTTTTTCCGGCCACGTATTGCATTTTTCACAACAACCAAATTTGGCCATGAGTATGGGAGCAAACTAGAAATGAAATTATGCAGCCCGTTGTAAACAATTATTTGTGTAGTTTCTCCCGTTTAGCTTTCTTAATTTAAGAATTTTGCAGCCTTAGGGTAGGGGTGTATATCTGTCACTGCGTATTGGATATCATTGGCAAATAACACAGCTATGATTTCCATTGAGTTTGTTCTTGATTTGGCTTGCTTTTTATGAGCTGTTTTTCATTGATTTTGAACGGGGCTTTGGTATTGATTTTACAGCTCTTGAAATCAATTCGTTTTTATTGAAAAAAGGCTGCTTCAATAGAAAGCGAAAGTTACTGATTCGAATCAATAGCCGATGTCCAGGGGATTTGCCTTTTCACTGTCCGCCTTTTCCTTTGCCGGTCTCATAGGATGCAGAACCTTTGTTTCCATCGGAAGGATAACGGAATTTGGGAAATTCCTTTCTTTCCTTTCTTGCCTTTGCCTTTTCCCCATATGTCTGGTCGTAGGGTTCATAGTTTTCGTTAGCAATATTGGCCTTTCCGCCGGATGCGCTCTTGCGAAAGGTTTTGAAACCACCGTCGATCGCTGCCCTTGTTGCTTCTGGACTTTTGCCTTTTCTTGATCCGAATCTTCATTTCCGCCCAGACACTTTTCTAGCAATGAGTGCGTCACTCTCCTTGAGCACCCAAAATGTAACTTCATCTTCCGTTGCCACGAATCCTTCATATCCTTCTTCTTTCGTAACCCAAACCTTCTCCTTTGTATTTGCCTTATGGAGGTCGGATGGATGGATCTTGGATGGTTGTTCTGATCGTGATGAAGAGATCGTGATACTGTGCTTTCAGCATCTCGTAGGAGTCAGTCGTTCTCTCTCCACTCTGGATGTTGAAGAATTGTGCCATGAGGTTGTCATTGAGGGAGAATGCGTCCCTGTGTTTTGTCTGCGTGCCGTTGATGTGCTGTCTCAGCACTTCTGGATCGTCTGCGGCAAGGGCGCTGCCCTGGTACCGGCAGCTTGCTTGCGCTGGACAAGTCTTCTTTGGTTTGCGTCTTGGACAGATGCAAGAAGCTCTGGTGACTGCGCCTGCAAGCATCTCCCATGAGTTTGCTTTTGGGGAGAGGTCCTTTCTTGGATGCTTCACTTGTGGTGAATGTCGTCCAATCATCCACAAGTTCCTCATGTGAACCAGCTGACTTTTGCGTCGTATGATGGCGGCTGTTTGGAGGGGTTTCCAGCGAGCGACCCAGGAAGCCTTCTCCATCGGATGACCACTGCCTGCGTGTCAGTAGGATCCACTGAAGTACATCGAATGAATGTATTGACCAATGGGTGTCTCTGATAAATAGATAGGTAGATGTTGCACTTGTAAGCGTGGCGCAAGGTTCTTGCTCTCTGATGTGGAATCGCGCACGAGGTGTGAAAAGAAAGGCCCTTGAGCTAAAACGGTTGATGGAAGATAAACTGGTCAATGCGAAGCAAAAGCAAGCACACACACACACAACCACCCGCAAAAAAAAAAACTGGGCCCCGACCCCGAAAGTCTATTGTAACAACTTGGTTGTTGCGCTACGAAAAGCAAAGCTTGCAGACTCCGGCCTTTTCCTCCTTTGGTGTTGTTGTGGCTGTCTTTCCTTTGCCCTTGTGCTTGCCATTCTTTCCTTTGCCTTTACATGTTGCTCCTATGTCCATTGGTGCTGGTCCTCGACTGTTGTTGCCTGATGTGATTGCTGGTAATCTGTGTAGTGGGTGATCTGATCTGTGCATATGTTTCAATGTTTCCTGCTTGCAGCTGTAGGTGTTGCCGTAATGGTCCTTTTGTCTCATTGAGCGGTGTTGCAATCAAGCAAGGCTTTGATGAGATGTGCTGGGAAGCAAGACGATGCTGAGGTTTGCTGCGCAGCAAGGCTGTGTTAAGATGTGATGCGCAGCAAGGCTATGTCGAGATGGGATCTGCGATGTTCGAGCTGGGAGTTGCAGAAGTGTACTACGCGGTCTACTTTTGTACTTAAATCTTTCGTGCTCGAAACTTGCGATATTGAATCGCTGCAGAAGTCATAATTCGCGTACTACTTTGGCACTTAAACTTCGTTTTCAAGCCGGAGCTGCAGAAGTGCCCTTTGCGTACTACTTTCGTACTTAGCCGGAGCCACAGAAGTGTAATTCGTGTGCTACTTTCGTACTATTGAGGGAAAATCGCACGGAGCTGCAGCGAGAGCGATCAGACGCGCGCGATCCCCGCAGAGAGCTCGTCGATTCACATTGCGCCGCAGCGCCGACCCCCGCGGTCCCTGTAGAGGAGCGATCCGACACGCACGATTTTCTCACAGGAATCGTCGGCGAGTTTTCAAGCACGCGCGGCGCCGCAGCGAGAGCGCCCCGAGACGCACGATCCCCGCAGAGTTCATCCTGCCGACGCTCCAACGGCGCACAGCGCCGTTTTCAACAAACCTCAGCAGACGTCGATGTTGGCAGCGGGCGCCCGCAAAACGGTTCCGCCCGAACTCGCATCATGTTCTCGACAAGTCGCAGCGCATCACCTTCAACAAGCGGCGTCAGACGGCTTCGTTTGTAGAAACGTTGCGCGAAGGGACACCGTTGCGGCCTCCAGGTAAGCCAGGCTGCGTAAGCTTGGCTGGTAAGCTAAGCTGTGCCGGCTACGCTGCGTAGGCTAGGCTGCCTAAGTCACGCTGTGCGAGCTTGGCTGCTTGAACTAGGCTGCGTGAGCTAGGCGTGCGATCAGTGCGCAAGCATGATGTCATCCTGGCAGGAATCGGAGCTCCCGGCTTGGTTCTGTCCAATGGGATCTTGGCATTTTCGGGTTCTGAAAGCAATCCGACCAGACTCTGAAGTATGCCCCAGACATCACCCAGGCCAAGGATTTTGTGACAACATATCTCTGGATAAGGTCCACTGTTTTGTCTCCTCGCACGAAACATCCGATTCCTTTGCGACCTCCTGGGTCAGCGCAAAGCGTAGCCGGCCTGGATGAAGAGTTGCCGCGCAAGGGATTTGTGGTTCCACCTGCTTCTTGGGGGCATATCGCAGGAACAATGGGAATCCCACATTCGACTTTCCTTCCCACCCACCGTGCCTCGTGCGGCGCGTTCGGCTGCTCCGCGATCGGGTTTGTTTCGCCTTGTGTTGCCTGCTCCCATCCTTCGAAAAATGGTAAGGTCTTCATAGTGACCTCTTCTGTGAGCAGTTTCTCGCCCAGCATCAGGCGCATCGCGAAGCGGTTTGTGGGTTTCGCGTTTCGTGGGGTCCCGGGAAGCAGAAACGACAACAACTTCCGGCTGATTTACATTGGTTCACCTAGTTTCCCGCATCCTTGCAGAACAAGCGGCGTTCTGTGTCTGTTTTGCCAATGCCGAACGAGAGGTCCTGACACGCCTAAGGGGGACGGTGCATCCTCAGCCCCTCGCTAGAGGCCTATGCTCAAAACCCTAGAAACATTTAGTGTCTTTATTGGCACACTCGTTCACAAACCCCTTGTAGTGGTGGCTGTGCTGGTTGAATGGGCCGCATTGTGAGGAACCCTGTTGTTGGCAAAGCGCTTTGTTAAAACGCGTTTGCACTAGCGCACTTGCACGAGCGCACTTGCGCGGCCACGCTTGCGCGAGCATACTTGCACGAGCGCGCTTGCAGGAGCACAAGCTCGCATTGCGAGGGGTTCTGCCGGAAACGCGCCAGGGAACTGACACCAGCGCACTCTCACGAGCAAACAAGCAAAGGGCTCGAGAGCAAAACGCAGGCCACACTCGAGAAGCGCACTTGCACGAGCGCACTTGCCCGAACACTCTTGCCAAATCATGCTTGCAGGAGCGCGCTCCCAGGAGAGGACTTGCAGGGACACTCTTGCAAGCTCTTGCAAGAGCACGCTCGCAGGACGCGCTGTCAAATGCTAATCTGCGAGTCGGCAACAAGAGAACAGCGGCTGGTTTCCGTTCTCCACGCAAAGCCAGGGTTTCCCACAGGAGTTTCTGGAAATGGAGGCTTGCAATTGAGAATTTGCATTCCTGGGTTGTACACAGGGAAACCGAACCCGCGCGTCGGTGTAGCACTGGTTGAGACCATGACAGTAACTTTCGTGCCAGGGGGCGAAGGAAGTGCTGCTGCTTCTCCCAGAAGATGCTGCAGAGGTTCAGCCGCTCCCTGGCACGAGCCGCCATTCGGATATCTCGTGCGCCCTTCAAAGTGAGGAGAAGATCTCCTCAAGCCCGTCTAGCGAATTTGTAAAAAGGTGGTGAATTGACCAGCCCAGCCAAACCACTGCATTTTTGGCATTTCGCGCCTCAGAAAATGACTTGGCGCAAGCTTCGCGCAAAAACCCTGGTGCGCATGGTGTTTGCAAGGAGCTGCGCCTTGGTGCGGTCTGGAGCCGGCGCAGTCTAAGAGGCTACGGGGAGAGGTTTGCTTGTGGCAGCTGAGACAACATTGCGCCAATGGCATGTAATCAACATTTGTCAGTTGGCTAGGCCATGAGGTTTCCTGTCGATCGAAATTAATAAGGGGTACCATTGAAGTTCGTGATTGCGCAAAACTTTACTGCTCTGGAGGTTTTGGGGTGGAGGTTGTACACCTGCTCGCTTGAGTCAAACTGCAACAACCTCGCGTTCTTTCCAAAACGGGAGACGATGCTGAATGGAAAACAATGCTCGTTGCGTGTGGCGCAGATTGGGGCTCACGAATGCAAAGCACCATGGATTCGGACTCTGTTCGCACGCGCCTTCTGGGCGGGAGCCTCACACTGCGCCAAAATCTACGCTCTACTCCAACCCCGCTTTCTGGCCCTAAAACGACCACACAAACAAGAAGTTTCCCAGCGCTGCGACCCCAGATGCGCCCCAGTCCAGCCAAACCGGCGATCTGTGCTTGCAAGGTTCCCATTTCTGCAGAGCCCGCTTTGGTACAAGTCCAGCGCGCGAACTGAACCTTGGCCACGCACTGGGGCGAGAGGTGTCAAATCGGTCGGTGCCAAATTTCGCGGGTTACCGAGTGTTTTTTCAAGGGTCCTGCTTATTCGCTTCAAACACAAACGGTAATCATCTCGCATCAAGTTGAGGGTTAGGCTATTATAGCAGGTGAGACAAGGAAGAAGCGAGCCTTTAGAAAGCAAGTGGAGAGACACCTTGGCGCAGTTCGTGGCAACTTCGTCACAGAGATTGATGAAAAGAAAGCAAAGCTTGACGCACCCGTGAGTGTCAGCGCTATGACGCCTGGTTGGGCAAAGCGTTCGCAGTCTTGGTACGGCTTCCTGTCTAAGCTCTTGAAGGAAGGTTTTCCGGACAGCGGGCATGAAGCAGTCAGAAACCTGTTCATGGCCCTGCCGCCCCCCTCCGCAAAAGTTCGCACATTGGCCTTCCTCAGGTCAATCTTGGCGTGGCCAAGTTTCAAGATGGGACTTCTTTGCAGGCCCCCCAGCTCGGAGAGATGTTCAGAGACTATGCGAGGTTGCAGCTTCTTTGCATGAGGAAGTGAAGTTTGCTATTTTGTTGCGTCAGTTGCGTGCTTATTTGAATGTGCATGTTTCGGTATCAGACTTTTCGCGCAGCCATAGCGGATTTTGACGCAGCAAAGGCCAAGCAGCAACCATGGCACGCGTACTCAGGTTGGAGACGGCCCTGCGGGCATGGAAGTGACAGAATTTATTGCAGCGGCAAGGGCAAGGCCAGCAGAGCGACAATGGCAACTTTTGTGGGAAAGGCGAAGGCAAGGACATCAAGCGCGAAACTGCCGTCAAATCAAATGTCGGCAAGTTATGCGGTTCCAACTCGACACGCTGGCAATCTGCAAGACCCATGAAAAACCAACATGCTTGCTGCTGCAACTGACACGCGCTGGCTTGAACCATGTTCACAAATCCACAGTTCTCAACAAGATGATCATCATCTGCTGCTGTCAAATCGTAAATGGCACTGTCAAACTCCTCATTGTCTGGAAACACGCGCACACGTCTCACTCTTTGCTGCGTGTTGGGCGCAACTGGCTGCTGTGGCTCCACAAGCTCGTTCCTGACTGCCAACTCCTATTGGCCTAGGTGTGTGGATGTCCCTGTTCCGTCTTAGTGCTTGCCACCGAAGTGTTTCAGATGCATCTTTTCCAGCGTTTCCTGGTGTCGTGGACGCACGCGTTTTAGAGCAGCATTAAGTGCAATGGGAGCTTTCAGAGCAGCCAGGTTGTCTGGAAGGTTTGGTTACGGACGGAGTTTGAGTCCAAATGGTATGCCAAACCTTTGGAGCTGAACTGCCTCGACGCGACAATGGTTGCGCTAGATGACTAACCAACAACTCTTGCGCGCGTGCCAGGTGGTTCATGGGAGCTCTTTGAATTGCGCCCAAACATGGGTGTTATGCGAGACTGTTTGGGTGTGGGTGTTCCTGCGGAATGCGTTGAAATGCTTTTGACAGGCGCGTTGCATCTTGCTCAGGGTGATGAGCCTGAACTTGATTCTGTTCAGGAGATTTTTGAGGCGCCCAAGGATGCTGCGCAGCACAGCAGCACAGGTGTGAAGCAGCACAATCAAATGCGAGTCAAATGCGAGTGAGAGGGTGTCCATGTTTGAGCGTTGATTTTGTTTACGCTGGATATACAGATGATCCGAACGAGCAGAAGCTGTGTGTCCTGCTTGTGCGTGATTCGTCTTCGCACGCAGTCAGTGCACCTCCCATGAAGGACAATTTGCATCATGGCAGTTGAAATGAACCGGTGTTGCTCAAGCTGCAAGGCATATTCAGCGAATCAGGGCCTAACGGCTCGCAAAACCTTCAGTGAGAGATCATGCCGGTAAAGGATGTGACAGGCATGGTCATGGGCGCATGCGCCGTGGATTGTAACACAGCTGAGCGCCTGCAGTAAGCTGGAGGAGGGCTCGGAACCGGTTTTAGCTTTGCAAGTTCAAGGGCGTCAGAAAGGATTGCAAAAACGAAAGCAAGCTCTTGGGCAAGGTGGTTTGCGACGTGCCAATTTAAGGCACGCAGCATGAAAGGCTGTGTGCGGTTGACGAAGTCCGTGTGAAGAACAGGTGCTTTATGGACAGATTTCCTTCGCGGCAGCTTGAGCACCAAGTTGTTGGCCAAACTATTTCGGCAAAGGTTGCATGAAGCAAGCGTGCATGAGCAAAGTTTTCACGGATAGCGACTGGGAGGTGTTTGCAGTGAATGGTTTGATTGTTGGTGGAGTCAGCAGATCGCAAAAGGTTGTGAGCCGGAGCTGTCAAGGCTGACGAAGTGGAGAAGATGGCGAAATCAAGACCGTTGAAGTCGCCCGTCCCAAGAAGAAGAAGATCCTGACCCCCCGCAACAAGCAACCGCTAGCAGGGAAGGCTGTGCCGAAGCCTGAAACCAAGGCAACGCCAAAGTGCCTGTGTCTGCCAGGTTATCTGCTGAGATTCTGCAATTCTTGTGAACCCAGCGCGCCTGAGTCTGGAGCTCCCAAACTTGGTTGTTATCCAGCACGCGTCAAAGCGCACTCCTTGTTGCCGAAACACTCACAGCAGTAAGAACTTCGCCTCACACACCACTGCGTGACGACCGAGCCTTTCAGCTGGCGTGCGCTTTTGGATTGGTATATGGGTGGAAGATCAATCGCTGTCACGCCATCCTCTTCTTCCTCCTCCGACGACGTTGGCCAATTGCCATCATGTCAAGGCCTTGCGCTCAGTGCTGATGAAAAAAAGGTCTTCGCTCTTTTTTCAAGAAGAGGGTGGTTTGCTGCAACATCAATGACCGCGTAAAGCTCCTTCTGACGGATCTCGCTGTCGAAGGGACCCTCCGGATCCTCGCGCCCCGGCTTGGAACCGACGCATCGATGTATTCCCGTTCCATTTATAGCGGATCCATCCTTTTCAATTTGGCCAATGTCGTGGCCGGCTGCTGTGAAGAAATGGATCTAGCGGCGACTGTTAATTTTCGTGTCGTTGGAGTGCACCCGGTCAGTCCGTGACATGTTGCTGATGAGGGTGCGGGGATTGATATCCGTGACTTTGCTGCGACGTCCAAGTAACCGAGCGTGGCCCTGCATTTGCGCTTTTAGGGCTAACCAAGACCACTCCTGCAACCTCCACGCCCCACGACATCATTTCCAGATCAGGATACGACGATGACATTCGAATTGTCTTGGCAAGCGTTGATAGCCCGCTCGGCCGCATCGAGGGATTGGGTAAGGCCCTATCCCCACGTCACCTCACTCCACACAGTGTGCTCGTGGCCAAATAATCTATTCTCTTGGGGGACCGCACCGATGTTGGTCCTCGCAAGCGCCTTGCCAAAAAGATGTAATTTGCCGGTTGCTTTTTTGCTTGCGTGACTGGGAATACAGACGATGGTATTTCAATAGTTGGGGGAAGATCAGCATCAGGCTATGATGCGCTGCGCAGGAAGACAGCAAAGCAGCTCTTGCGGATTTGCGTTTCACGCAGGCATTCCTGGTGGACATGGCTTGTCCACATCTGCAGATGTTGCAGCAGTAACTGAGGTCTTGGGTTAGGGCCTTAGCAGATTTGCTCTGATAAATGTGTGGCTGTGATCGCTTTGGCTTGTGCGGTATTTTCTTGCGCAGGAAGGTTGTGAAATTGCAGCAGCCACTAGAGAGGTATGACGCCGAGTGTTGCGTTCAGCATCAGCTGAACATGCTCTTTGGTGCAGATGAAAAGCAGCAAGCCCGCTTGGCAGCTCTGGAGAATCAAGATTCAGATGGCGAAAACGAAGGAACATTGTCAGAAGATGCGTCTTCTTTGGATGAAGTAGTGCACGAAATGCGAGGCGTCAGTATGAAACTGCCGTGTCAGCTGGATTGAGAAACCAAAGCAGAAGACATGGAAGGCTTGGAGTGGCTTATGAAAATCCACGCAGGTCGGGGGCGCCGAAGCTGGACAACTTGAAGGTAGAGTTCGGCCGGCTGGCGTCTCTGGTGATCAGCAATTCAGCACCCGCTGCTTTTCGGGCACGCTCACGCGAAGGCATTCAAATTTGCGTTGGTTGTTTCTTCTTGCGGGCTGCACACCCATTGGCCAGGAACAACTGTGGTGTGTGTTGGTCGTGCGCCTTTTGAACATGAACAAGAAGTTAATCCAGGGCCCCGACGAACTCCGGCGAACTCCATGAAGCCACCAAGGTTTGTACTTGGAAGGAAGTTCCAAAAAGTTCGTTGGTTCCTGGCGAATTTTGGCTCTTCTTTTCGTTCTATTGCGGGTGTCATCTGGGCCACTTTGTGTGTGAGGAGCCTTGTGCTGTGGTGTTGGTGGGGAAAGCATCCTCTCATGCGGTAACGTGTGGACAACGGTTGGGGCTTGATAGTTACTGCCACATTGGGGGCGCACTGAAAGCAAAAACTGCTCAGATGTCATTTGACGAACTGGTTGATGATAAGATGAGATCGATGAAGAAGGCGGATCTTGTCAGTTTGCTCAATAATCTCATGAATGAGTTGAGCGTGAAGGATCAACATCTTCCTGGTCAAACGGCCAGGGTGTGGTGATCTCCCGAAATCAGGAACGCTGAAAGGGGGGCAAACAGCGCGTACGGACTCTTTTGGGTAGTTTTGTGTGAATCTATTGAAAACACATGTTTTGGAAGGGGTGCCAAAGTTAGTCCAGAATCCCGACAAGCTTCTGACGAACTTACCTATCCCGCGAAATTTGGCAGTTCGAGCTGGGCATTTCACGCCGTTGGCCGCGTGATGCGTGAGAGACAACGAGGGACTTTCAGCAGGAGCCCGTAGATCAGTCCTTGAATCCACAAAAAGCGCGAGTTGTGTGAGATCCAACTTGTGGCGCCAGAGCTTTCTGGGGCTTTAGCCGCTGCCATTGGCGCAGCCAGTGGCCGAACACCCTCTAAGCGTTGATTCCCAATTTAGGCCTCCGTGCTGGCATTGCTTTCAACGCCTCCAACGCTGAGCGCGCACGTGCTCACCTTCCTTTTCTGGGGGGTTGGAAGCGGCGCCTAAGCTCTTCTCGTTCAGCCCGCTTCTTGGAACACACCCGGCAGGGAAGGCAACAAAGGCTTCGGTTGCTGAACCTTAAGCCACAAAAAACCGGTACCTATGCGACGTGGCCCTGTGCCAAGGGGGATCCAAGCCAAGGTGGCATCTTTGAAGCTTTCCTTGCCCGGATTACGAGCTGTGCTGCAGCCCGGAGATGCTTCTTGGAACGCATTGGTACGTGCTTTTTGGTGTGGTTTAAAAAGAAAGCCACAGGGAAAATGCAATTTTAGGTACCCATTTTTTGTGACACGTGCCCACTGGGTAGCAGTACAATACACAATGACACATTGCCCGCTCGTTTTTTTAGCTCAAGGATTGCAACTGGATGGCCCAAGATGGCCCAGAGAGACAGCTTGACCGTGTTCTGTTGTGCGTTTCGTAAAAGGGCGACGCGTGTCAGCTGTCAGCTGGTCTGCAGCGTGCGCAATCTGTTGATAACTGGAGTAGTCCCGGACTCCTGTTGCGCAACGCCGGTTCTGAGACAACCCAGGTCAAAAGTTGGGCTGGGCATCCAAACCCGACGCAAAAGAATCTTTTCGAGCTTGTTTTGAATGAAGGCAGACAAGAAAACCACCGTGTGCCGCTTTGTTCGGGGCCAACGAACCGTTCAGAATGCGACCCAAAAAGAATTTGGATCCCACGTGGTGTTGGGAAACCAAAACAACCTGTTGCAGCCTGCCGTAGCAGGTGCTGTTCATCCCCCTCTGGTGGTGGCACGAGGTGCGCACGGTGCATGGGCCTTCGGTGTCCAGCACCTTCCGATTCCACACGGAGGCCCGAAACCGAAACGAAGCACACTGCGCCATCCGCGCTTGCAAGCCGCATCCTGGGAAGCCAAAGGGACAGTGCTTCAACACTGGTTCAACATGTTTACATAAACAATGGACAAGGTTCTTTGTGAGGGTTCACCCCCTTTGAGGGGAAGGTGGTTTTTTTTGGGCGGCTACTCTTCAAGAGTGTAAACAGTTGCTTGTCGGTAGCTGTCCACCAACATGATTCTTGCAAAGGATCACGCGTTCAAACATCAGCAAGCTACACATAAACGAGGGGTAAAGTAGTGGACTAATTACCTTTGATGAGAGGGAGCAAGGATATCTTTGTTTTGGCAAGATGTATGGTCATGCCAATCCAAACTAGGTGGCCCGCCTGATATGCCCTATGTAACTGCATTTTTAGACACAACCGCGTGTCAGGGTTAGAGGGGGAGTGATCACCAAAACTCGGCTTCCAGGCGCAGTATGGGTGTGGGACAGTGTTAGGGAGTCACAAGCCTTCGCACCACGGACTGCGAGCCCCCCGTTTCACTTGGAGAGCAGCTGGCGAGGATGCGGAGCGCTTTGCCAAAGTTATGAACGCCTTCTACCAGTTTCACAAGAATGCCAAGGAGCCACTCGGTGGCCAAACGAGAAAGACGCTAATGTTGTTGCACGGAGCCCCCTCTCAGACTCCCAGTACGCGCGCTGGCATTGCCAATTCTGCTTCTCGTTGTCAAGGAGGCTGACTCTCAGATTCCCAGGATTGAATTTAGTATTGCCAGTTCCACTTCTAGTATTTTCCAAGGCTGACTCTCAGATCCTAGTATTTAATTGTAAATGCTGCGCGTGGCCTCGACTGCAAGCAGCACTGGTCAAGCGGCGATTCAGGCATGGACGGCTTCTGGCATCGTTGGACCAATTGATGTCAGGGGTTCGCAGGAATCCCCAAGGGGCAAGCGCAAGGCGATGCGCAAACATGTCAAGGCTGGTTTGTCTGATGTGTCCCTTGCTTGGGTCGGTTGCTGGCTGGGCCGGCGTGGGTGGTTCAGCGAGCCCCCATTTTTTTGGGCAGGCGGCTGGCGGTGGGCTGTGAGGCTAGCCTCAGACACGTCATCCTTTGGGAAACATGAGCGCCCTTGCTGAGGCGAATTTAGCGTTGCCAATTCTATTTCTAGTATTGCCAGGGCTGACTCTCAGATTCCCTGTATTTAACTTAGTTTCGCTAATTCTATTCTATTATTGCCAAGGACCTTTGTTTTCAGCAACCCCCGAAAAATCAGTTGGACATTAACGAGGGCCCCAAAACAGCCACATTAAAGACGAGGAAGTCTTCTTGTGGGCAACCGCCTTTGTGTGACTGTTTGCCCGTACTTTGTTGTAAAGTTATCTTTCAATTTGATGGTTAGGGGACCACTTCAAGAAACGGGTTTGCCAATCAGGAGTTGTTTGCCTGAGGCCGAGCAGATCCAGAAAGTGAAAAAGAAGCTCTGTGCTTTTGGATTTTTTTTTGGGGGGGGGGGGGGAAATTTTCCACCATAGAAAACCTCTAAGCAGTCACAGGATCCTGAGTTAGAGAAAAAGCTTCCACAATAGAGGGTGCTACTTCCAAAGGGTCCAACACTGCGCTCCGAGAAAAGCCTGGCAGAGCCTCGACCATCAAAGTCGGACAAGTCCGGAGCACCGTAGCAATCAGAGCCTTCTGCTCGCTGTGGGGAATCGCTCCAGTTTTCGGGGTTTCGTTTGATGAGAACTCCTCCGGATGAATCCGAAGTGAACATTAAAGATCATTAGAATGACGCTACCCTGCCCTGGCTTTTCCTACCCAAAATGCAGCCTGATGTGCAGATTCATCAAGCTAGGCGGCCCGCTTTTTTGTTGCGGAGTGTTGAACTGTTGAGCTCCTCCAACTAAGGAGGCAGGCGAACCCGTGTCAGGAGTGATCTTGCCAAGAAGTGTTTTTAGCCTGCGTCGGTTTTAAGAGAAACCGAATCTCAGTTTTTGGGTCGAGGTACGGCTCAGGCCGCTTGGCCAGACACATCCGCCCGGCAACCCAGCCTCGGCGCAAGAAAAAGGCTTTGTTTGTTGATTTGTGCCTGTGAAGAAGGGATCCGTTCGACGACTTTTGAATGTTGCAAAACGCTTGCCGTATGGAGACCTGGCAAGAATGCTCTGTGTTTTCAAGAGGATTGCCGCCGGCTCGAGGGCCATCATCACATCCAAGTGTCCTCAACAACCTAATCAGTCGATTGCACTCCCACAGGCGGAAGCAGCTAGATTCATCCTGAAGGAAACGCTTTTCCGGCGCCCGGATTGAAATCAGCCAATCATAAAGAGGTTTTGCGCAAGTTTACTGGGTACGGATGTCTGCGCGATGCGTGTCGGCTTTGCGAGTGTGCGAGTCACATATGATTTGGCGCGCAGGCACGTTTCACTCTTGCATGAAACGTGCAAAAGTAGGAAAGTGCTACATGACATCATGACCATCCATTTGGCTCAAAGGCGCGCTAAACGTGGTTATCAGCTGTAGGAGTTCTTTTATATACTGGAGTTTCCTGGATCGTAGCCCTCCTCCTGATTGCCGCTGGGTGATCGACGTGCTGATTGGTGCTGGGTGGTTGGCGTCACGGCGCTGAAGGACGGGTGTGAGAGGAAAACCCGCTGGGAAAGGATACGTATTCACAGTTGGAGCGAGCAAGTTGAGGTTGAGACTGCGGTAGCCGGGCTTTGAGGCTGGTGTCAGGTGGAGCTTGGCGTCAGGGCTTGGATAAGCGCAATCCGAGGAAGGATAAAAGACCGTGACCCAATCAGGTTTTCCCATTGGGGGTTTTGAATTAAACCGACCAGACAGGACCTTAGGCCGTCATCCGTTCCATTGGCGCGCAGCGTCTTCGCTATGGTGGATTTGACACGGGGTGGCGGACGTGGAGTTTGGCAGGAGGACAGTCGGGTGTTGCCCAGCGATTTGTGATCGTCTTTGTGATCGTCTTGTGAGCTTTTCATTTTGTTGCTTTGTTCTACGGAGCTTGAGGGCGATCGGAGGGGTGCCAGTACTAAAGAGAGCAATTCCCATCGGTTCTTTCATGGCCGCACGTTGTAAGCTGTTTCGGCCTCACGTGGCCGTTGACGATGGGCGCCCACTTAGAGGTCGCAGCGCTACCCCCCCACCCCCCAAGCTCCCCTGGCAGGTCACCTCTCTGACTCACGCCCTGTAAGAGGTTGAGGCATGTTGAGAAACCTGGTTGGATTTCGAGAAGAGCTCAGACCAAGATTCCTGAGCGCTGCTGCAAACCAAGCTGCCGAAGTACATCAACCTGACAGTGTGGTTGTTAAGAGCACTCCTCAAATCCGATGCCTGTATGGCCCAATCAGACGCACCTTCATGAGACCAGTTTGAAGGGCGCTTGCTCATCAATACCAGGATGCTGAGGTTGCTGCGGCAGCAGCAGATGAAGCATTGAACATGCGTTGGGGGCTCAGGTTCCACAAGGAAGGGCCCAAGCCACGATCATCTGCGTGCTACTGCCTGTGTAGCGTCGCTCGCAAACTGAGTGTCGCCGGTGCTGTAAATGGGTTTGGTTTGGGCGCCCAGAAGTCCCAGGACTAGGAGCCATCAAGCATGTTTTGCAATTCCTGTTCCAATTGTTCCTTCACATCGCTTACTCCTAGAAATCTCAGCCCATATCGTCAAAGCGACTGCAACCGACTTCAGCCTTGACTGTTTCCCTGCTTGATAAAGTGATGAGTTGTTAGAGGCGTTGCCAGAAGGACCTCCAATCAGCTTGATCGAAGTGAGGAAACCTTTTTAGACCGTGGTTGGCTCAAGCTTTCAAGGCTGTGAGGCCAAGGTTCGGGAGTTGGAGGATTCAGTGCGCTGTCCGAGATTTGACAGGATGCTGGCTGCCGCTTTCGGACATGTTTAAAGCGCTTGCTTCTCATTGCTGTTGCGCAAAAATCTCGACATCGACCGGTTGTGCTGAAGGTCCTGGGTTTCGGATTCCGAGCCCTGATGCGGATAGCATCAACTCTCTCAAGCAGCGGCGAGCTACCCACTAGCGAGAGACCGCCCGAAGAGCAGCTTTTCAGGCGGGCCTTTGAAAAGGTTTTGCCAACGTTTCCGGAGCGTGAGGAAAGTGGACAGGCTCATAGCAGAAAAGCCAGCGCGACAGTAACCTTGACTCAGTTCGAAAACGCTCCGACGTAACCAGGAATGCTACTAACAGCGCCAGGAAAGCCCGGCGAACGCAGCCCAAGGCAAAGGGGAAGAAAGGAGGAAAGGAGCTTAAACGTAAGTGCGTGGAGACAGGTGGAAAAGGTGGAAGGTAAAGCCTTATCCAAGAGAGAAAGAGGGGCTTTGTGGGTGTGGAGCTTCACGCCCATGGGAACATGTGGATGCGGCCAAGCCCGATAGCAGACTCTTTTGAGACTGGCGGGATTGGCGTGCGGAGAAGACCGTGCGCGTCCAAGGTGGCTTGACGGTCGCCTCGTCAGTGTGCGTGTCCTGTCGTTCTTATCAAGAAAGGATGCCCCTTAGTCTCCCGTTTCTCATTCCACCCAACGTAGACCTGTGGCCAAGCCCGATGCTAGAGGTCGCCCGCCAAGCAAGGACAGCTTGCAAGACACTTCCTGACGCAGGCCCCAAATCTAAGCGGTGTGATGTTTGTGTTCGAGCGAAGATGCAGTCACATCAACAGTGAAGATTTCACGACGGCGACTCAAATCACCCTGAACAACTATTTGATCAAGCTTCACCGCCTTAACAGGACTCCAAAGAGGCTGGTTCACGCACTCCAACATCAACTTGCTGCCAGTTTCACCAAGGCTTTAGCAAGGCTTAGTTTGCTGCTTCTTTGGAGCTGTGTTGTCCCTGCGCTTGACGCGGACATCTCAGGGTGAGCTGGATGGCGAGGAAAGGAGCGCATCGCAGTTTGCTGCTGGAGTCCTTTTTTCAGAAGCAAGCGTTCCGTTTCTGCTCTTGTGTTTCATCAGCCAAGCACGTGCAGAACGGCCTCACGTTACAACTTCTCAGCGCATGAATACCGACCAATTTCGGCTTCGCGCTCGAGCGCTTCACCTGCCAAAGCCAACCTACGAGCTCCTCGAGAAGGTTCGCAGCGAATGTGAAGATTGCCAAGCAAGCAAACAAGCACCATCAAGAAGCAGAACAAGCGGACTTAGATCAGACACCTTCGGTGGTATGACTTATCTTTTCAGAAGATGCAAAAACTTCACTTGGCTCAGTGAAGCATGAGCATCAGCCTTTGGAATGCAATGCAGGCACATTCGGAGGCAGAGCCAAATTAGCACAAGTGTGTCCTCATCAGTTCTGAAGGCGCTTGGCAACAAGGTGTGCCTCTTGGAGGGCAAAAGAGCACTGATGCTCTCCGTAAGGAGATGGCTGCAATTGATCAGGAGAACAACATGACCAGCGGCAGTGTCACGGTTAAGGTTCAAGGTCTCCCGTTCAAGACAAGCTCAGCCACTTGCCGTCAATGACTTGCTGGTCCAAAAGCTTCAGAAACAATGAGGCAGTTTTTGCCAGGCGCAGAGATTGCTGTTTTTCACTTTCCGCCAAGATTCAAAGGACGCGCGATCGATCAACATGTGGAACGGTTGTAAGAAGTTAAGAAGCAACATGCGCTGCGTTTGAAGGCACGGTTGGCCTCAACATGCCACTCATCACCATCAGATGAGACGTGTGTATTCTTGTGGCAGCCATGAGGCGCAGTGGTCCTGCACGGCCAGCCAGAGAATCTGTTCTATCACCGGACCCTTTACCGCCCCGAGAGGCATTGAAGGAAACCCTGTTCTACTTGGCAGGGCCCAGAGAAACTTTCAATCCGATTCGGTGTGGATTCTCTCATCAGAGACTCACTGTTCATAACAGTGCGGATCATCTGTGCAAGCGCATGACAGGAACACAGAGCACTCCCAGTTCTGTACTCTGCAAGCCAAGAAACACTCAAAGCTTCCACACCTGACGCGTCTTACCGCAACAGTGAAGATAAGTCATCGCAAAGAGCGCATGTTCTCTTTCTTGCTGAAGAACAAAATCTTCGCAGGCTCTCATCGAACTCGAGAGGCTCTCAGTGGGGGCTGCGTTGTTTGCAGGTAGGAATAGCCTGATATAGAAAGCACAAAACCCTCTAAAAACCTTGAACAAACAAAAAACAGATTTCAGAGCCAAGGAAGGGTAGACCCAAAAAACTAGGGTCCGCATTCTTGCTTTGCTTTTTTGTTTTTGGGATTTGTCGAGGTTTTTGGCACTTTAGGCCGAGGGTAGGCTCGTGGAATGCGCGGGGTGCCGCCGGTTTTGGCTCGTTTGATGACCTGCAGCCAAACAACTAGATACGACAGTAAAATTAGCAATTTACCTGCTAAAGGATAAGGAGCATGTGTGTGTGTGTGCTGTGTGCTACGTGTTGTGTGTTAGTTGCGTGTTGTCTGTTGTGTGGCGTGTTTTGTGTTTTTTGGTGTGTTGTGTGTTGTGTGTTGCGCGTGTGTGCTGGGTTCTGTTTTGTGCGTTGTGTGTGTGCTTGGTGTGCGTGCGTTGGGGTGTGTGGTGAATGTGGGGTGTGTGTGGTTTGTGGGGTGTGTGTGTGTGTGGTGTGTATGTGTGCTGTATATGTGGTGGGTGTGGTGTGTGCGTGTGGTGCGTGGTGCGTTGTTGTGTGTGTGTGGTGTTTGTGCGGCGTGTGTGTGTGTGTGTTTGTTTGTGTTTGGTTTGTGTGTGTGTTTGTGTGTGTGTGGTTGTGTGTTTGTGTTTGTGTGTGTGAATGTTTGTGTGTGTGTGTGTGTTTGTGTGTGTTTGTGTGTGTGTGTCTGTGTGTGTGTGTGTTTGTGTGTGTTTGTGTGTGTTTGTGTGTGTGTTTGTGTGTGTGTGTTTGTGTGTGTGTTTGTGTGTGTTTGTGTGTGTGTTTGTGTGTGTTGTGTGTGTTTGTGTTTGTGTTTGTGTGTGTTTGTGTGTGTGTGTTTGTGTGCTTGTGTGTGTGTTTGTGTGTGTTTGTGTGTGTTTGTGTGTGTGTGTGTTTGTGTGTTGTGTGTGTGTGTGTGGGGTGTGTGTGTATGTGTGTGTGTTTGTGTGTGTTTGTGTGTGTTTGTGTGTGTTTGTGTTTGTGTGTGTGGTGTGTGTGTTTGTGTGTGTGTGTTTGTGTGTGTTTGTGTGTGTGTTTGTTTTGTGTGTGTGTGTGTTTGTTTTGTATGTTTTGTGTGTGTGTGTGTGTTTGTGTGTGTGTGTGTTTGTTTTGTGTGTGTGTGTGTGTGTGTGTGTGTGTGTGTGTGTGTGTGTGTGTGTGTGTGTGTGTGTGTGTGTGTGTGTGTGTGTGTGTGTGTGTGTGTGTGTGTGTGTGTGTGTGTGTGTGTGTGTGTGTGTGTGTGTGTGTGTGTGTGTGTGTGTGTGTGTGTGTGTGTGTGTGTGTGTGTGTGTGTGTGTGTCTGTGGCGCGTGTTGTGTGTGTAGTGCGTGTGGCGCATGTGCGGTGTGCGTTCGGTGGTTGTAGTGTGTGTGTGTGTGGCGCGCGGGGGTGCGCAAACAGTGCGGCAGCACTCCCTGACAATTCACGATGGCTGATAGCGCAGTTGTTGTTGGTGGCGGCGCCACCCTGCGAACACCGCAAGCCCCGCGAACCCTGCGAACTCCGCGCCTAAACCAGCTAGAATTAATATAGTGGCATAGGAGTGACCCAAGGCTTTGATCCACTGTTTGGCTTTGTCCAGGATCGTACTTTGCCTGCGCCTTCGACGCGGAGGGCAGGGCTGAAGGCACCAAGCAAGGCGGAGATGAATGGCACACTGCCTGTTTTGAGCTGCGCAACCAAGCTCAAAAGGCAAACCCCGCTTTGGGCTGCAAGCTTCCGCCTCACGCCATGAGCGCCTCGGACCGGTAGCGCCCAACACGGATGGGTTCCTTGTCGTTCTGTGGTTTTCCCAAGCCCTCATTTTTGCCAGGGAAATCAGGCGGCCGCCTTTGGCTCTTGGCGGCTGGCCTGGTGCTGGGTTGGATGCTGCGCCAAGGCGTTGGGCTACGTTGCTGGGAAATCATCTCTGCCCGCTGGCTTGGAGGATTCCCTTGCAAAACAAGTGGTGTTTGGATGTATCAAGAAACCTGGTTTACCTTTTGAGCAGTGCTCCCAACCTTTTTTCTCCAGCTGATGAAAATAAATTGGTTTCGGGGGTTCTGCCAAAACAACTTTGGGGAATTTTCACGGGAGATCACCAGAATAGCCTTTCGAGCAGCGGCCCAAACTCGTTTTCAGCTGACGAACATAGGTTTTGCAGATTCTCCCCCCGATCTTATTTTCTGAGAATAACTTGGGGGACTTCTCACGGGAGCTCACCAGAATAGCCTTTTGAGCGGCGGCCTCAAACTCGTTTTCCGGCCGATGAAAAAAATTGGGGGGGGCGCACCAGAATAGCCTTTCGAGCGGTGCCCCCAAACTCGTTTTCCTGCTGACGAAGTAGGTTTTGGGGCTTCTGCAGCAGATGAAAGCATTCGGGATTCCATGGGAGCTTGGTTGATTGCCCGTGCTGAGCATCACTGCTGCCAGTCGTTTCAGGGTTTCTTAAGGGTTTCCTTGCGCATAACTTATGACGGATGTTTTGCCCCGCATTGACCCTCTGCGGCAGGCTTCCGCTGACGGGAAAAGAGCGCTGGCTGTCGGGCCCGCGGCCCTCGCCGCCAATCAAAGCCCGGTTCAGCAAAGGTAGAGCGCGAGGATGGTCCCAACAGTAGAGACTTCACGAGTTTTCGGTCGGCCTCTCAGCACCAGGCTTTTCATTTGTCTGCTTTAGAGTGGCGCTGGACCGAAGACTGCCAACGCGATAGATGCATGTAGGGCGTTTGAGACTTATGCTGCACATTTTAGTGCCTCATCTGGGCGTGCCTGCTTGCATGCGTAAAGGCAAAACGGTTGAGGTGCCCGTAGTTGAGCATGCCCGCTGGGTCACAGCCAGGAGATACAGACATTGACCGGCGACTGCGAGGACGGGCAGCTGCGCATACCGTAGGAGTTTGTCTTACCAACCGGCGAAAGTGACACGGATCGCCAGATTGACATGCACCAGCTGCGGTAACGCCCTACACCCCCCCCCAAGCTACAGGTGGGTTGATCCGATGCAGGATTTGGGTCAGAATTGCTAAGGGCTCCTTTGTTGAGAACGGGGTTCCATGTCAACTGGCAAGCACATTGGCTGCTCGTTCAGCCCTAAACCAACCCCAACCTGCAACCAACTCCAGGGCAACCGCACCATGTATAAGCCAACCCTAAACCAACCAGCCCTAGGCCAACCCTAGCCCTAAGCCACCAATCTTAAACCAGCCAATGTTAACATTTTGTTAAACCCAAACAGAAAAGTTAAACAACACCAAACCAACACACCCCTTCCCATCACGAAGGTATGCATTATTGAGGACAAGCGACGCTTGATAGCGGGCTTGGAAATATGTGATGTCCCACAAAACTGAGGTACCATCCAGGGGAGCGTTCCTATCAACAGGCTGGAACGCATGTGGAAGTGCAGGATAGCACATGGTCCATTCTGTCCACACAGGCACTGCGCATCCTTCGGTGAGCTCGGGCACCTTTGAAATTGATTATTTCCGCCCCGAACAAGGAACCACTTCTTACAGGCTTACGATTTATTGATCAAGCATTCCAGAAAAATGAAAGTATGCTTCTTCGCCCTCGCGTGTGCCAGGCGATAGATAACCCTTTGTTGGCCTTTGTTGGGATGGTGTCAAAGATAGCTCCACGCGGCAACTAGCATTTTGGGATAGAGGGTTAGATTCATCAAATTCGTCCTGGGCTTCCCAAGAAACAGATTGGGAAGGGTAGGCGCTAGCAACTAAAGGGCGCAGCGCCAGCAACTCCACGCCGGAATCCCAGTGCCAGTGCCGCGCAATCATTTTTTGTGCGATTACTATGACTCCGATCGGCTTAGAGAAACAAGGTTCGTTCCCGCGCACATTCGTTTGGGTCCGTCTTTTGACCGAGGCAAACCCCCTTTGATAATTCTGGGAGGCAACGCTGTAGGCTCTGAAAGGGGTGCGCCTTCCCCCCCCGGAGCCGCACGTGTCACGACTTCGGCTCCAACAAAACACTTTTTTTGCAACAGGAACCCAGATCCTGTTGAAACTAAAGGCGTATCGTGCATTTAGCATCAAATGCATGTGCAGTTTGGAGGCTCAATCACACAAATGCGTTCGCTTGAGATCCCACTCAACCGTACTATTTGTTGTGCCGGGCCCAAACAGGCAACCCTTGATTCTACAGGTCATCAGCCGTAGGCCCCTGGCTCAATAACCGGCAAGGTGTGCAAGCGGAACAGCCAATCCGCTGCACGCCAACGTCACCGGCAGCCGTGCGCAGCAGACCGGCCCAGTGTGGCACGCGCGTCAGAGTCAGCAATTCAACGCAGCCGTGTTTGCTCCACCGCGCCGCAGTGACGCAAGCGAGCAATGGTTGAAGCAAAGCACAACAACAACGAAGAAGAAATGGCACGAGGCGTATGCAAGGCGGAGGTTGAAAGGCAAAGTGAGAACCCGGCAGCCCTAGATGAGACTGTAGTTTGCGAGCCAAAAGGTCGCTGGCAGTCAGAACTGATTGTAGCAAGCTTTGCAGTTCCGGCCTGAGCAGCAAGTTTCACCATGCCCTGTCAACAAAGGCCAGTTGACAAAGATACACCAACCCAGTCCCATATTGTTATGCCTCCTTTCTCAGATTCAGCAACTGATCATGCTCCAATGTATTGAGCGCTGGGGCATTGGGATCACTGCGCTTGGCTTGAACTTGTTGACCAGCCGGGTCCACTCACCAGTCCCAGCACTCCTGGATTGGCTCGCGGGCCCTTCTATTACTGTGCTGGTGGCGACTGGCTCGGATTGAAACCTTGCATCGTAATTTGCGTGTCGTGTCATGATTGGCATGTCTTTCCAAATGGCTCCGGACCTTTCTCAAGCCGCAACACTTACAAGCCGGCAAGTTTCATGACACGCAGTCGCTTGGCCTCTGTGTAACTTGGCCACACGCAGATGGGGCAACAACTAAGCAATGTCTTTCATTTCATGACTGATCGACACAGCGCTCATTCGATCAAACGCTGGTAGCCGCACGTCTGATGAGGCGGGTTAAACGATGAGGAGTTGTTTGCTAGCAATGGCGTGTTTGGAAATGGCTGTGCGCATCAGTGGTATGATGAGAACACTGCCAGGGCGCAACCTCTTCTAAGTTCTGTTCTTTCTGGCAGTGACTTGTTTCTTTTGCAAAACGCACCAGGCTCAGCCCACCTTTGCCATGTTGCCAATCACATGCAATGGAACTGATGGACGTTAGCCAACCTGAGAAAGACATGACATGCGCCTGCGTTGGGTTTGCTCTTCCCACCCTTCCCACTCCCCACCTTTCCTTCCCACCATTCCCACCCACGCGTGCGCCTGCCCCAAAGCCAATCACACGAAGACTCCGGGCTTTTCAGCCTCTGCGTCCCCTGCGTCGCGCCAACCCTCAACAAATCGCGCCCACTCTGCGGAAAATATCGCAAAGACCATGTTTTCTTAGTTTTTCCACGGGTTCTGTGGGTGAGAGGGTGCTGCGGATGCACGCTGGTGATGCAGGAATTTGCGTGAAGTTTTGGGACCCAACTGTCTGGGCTGGCTCTATCTGGGGCTGGAGCCAAGGTCTATGAATTTCATAGGAAAATAAATGCAAGAAAATGTAAGTAAACAGCAAATGAAACTGTCTCCCGCAAACAATGTAAATCAAAAAAGCAAAAAGAGCGGAACAGCGGAGCAAAAAAACAAAGCAAAAACAACACAAAACACAGAAAAAGAGCAAAAAAGAGCAACCACAAACTCAGCTCCACGTAAAAAAAAAGAACGAACGCTCCAGAAAGTCGCACAACCATTTCAAAATGCGAGAGCAGCTTGGGGCAAACGGAGCAAGTGGCAAGCAAAACCGCAAAAGAAACAGGCAGAAACGCAAAGCCCCGCATTCCAGAAAAGAAGAAGGCAAACTGCGGCCGGAGCCTCGGAATCTTGCTGAGTCTGACGCGCAACGCGGGCCGGATTTGACGTGCAAAGGGGCTAAATTCCATCCGGAACTTTCAAAGCCGACCCTGTTCAAGGTTGCACTTTTCTCGCCGTTCCGAAATGGAATTGTCGCCGGTTTTTTTGGAAAAAAACTCGCTTTTTGTTCGCCTTTTCAGCGTTTGTTTTGTTTTCGGATGTTTTGCGTGGACCGGATCGGAGTCCGCCTTGCGGAGCATACTCAGCACGACGTTGCTTTTCAGACCCTCTAGCTCGAAAAAACTCAAAACATGTTGCAATTTTGCCGCACTCTTCCTTACATTACACTTTCTTTTAACAATGAAAAGTAGCCGCTTTTTTAGTTGCGTTTTTCGCTTTTCATTTTGCACTTTCTTTCTGGGCCAATCTTCAAGTACATTGTTTTCTTTTTCCGCTTTGTTACTGTGCTGAAAAACCAGCAAGTTGCCTAAAACAACCTCATAAGGCTGGCTAAGTCTCTTTCTGCCCGCGCCTCACCGACAATTGCAGTAGGCCTTTACATGGTGAAATGCCAGAAAGCTAAAACAAGGAGAACCTCTGCGCCCACAGCGCCAGGTTCCGTCAATCTTGCCGGGTTCCGGCAAGCCAGGCGCTGGGCCCCGGATAATCAAGTCTTCTTCGGCCGGGTTCTGTCGAGCTAGCCGGGTCCCGGCAAGCCAGGCGCCGGGTCCCAGCACCCGCCAACCAAGGATGGCGCGCGCCGAGGTGTTTTGCAAGAACAGAGTAGAATGTTAAAAAAGCTTTCGCTGATTGAATCCTGGAGTTAAACTAAACCCGGTTGATTTCAGTCTAAGACCAACTGACGGCTTTTGTTGAAGTTTTCCGTGGGCCTGCGTCAATGCCTGCAGCAGATTTGCAGGTGTGTTGGAGACCTTAACCCAGAGGAGAGGCAGGCTGCGGCCGACTCTCATCGTTGTCATGGTGTACTGGAGCAGGGTGCTCAACCATCCGTCTTGCGCCCGGACCCAATCCAACACCGTGGCAATGTCGCTGTAGGCACGGGTTGTCCCACGGGCTGTTGGCCGCACGACACGAGAAACGTCACCTTTCCTGGCTCCGGGACCACGCGGCCCGCAGCAGTGGCAGTCATGAGCGGAGCGAACAGCGCCCTACTACGGGCTTCAGCGAGCTCATCTGGGCGCGTTTGCGAGCCAGGTTCGCAACTTCGTGATGGCAGACAAGAGCGGGATGTTGGTTTTTGTCGAGGCTGATGCATTTGTTGTAACGTTCAAACTGACATATGGCCTATAGCGACAACAGTGCCAAGACGCCCCCAATTCTTTCGCGGGATGACGCCCCTGCGCAACCTCACTCAGCTCACGCGTCCAGCGACGGGCCGCTCGCGGAAGATCGACGCGTGTAAAGCAAAGCTCCGGCTGCGCTTCGCGATGAGAGTTGGGTTTTCTCTTCGCGCGGCTCACAAGAGCGCAGCTCAAGACCTACACCAAGCGCCACGTCGACTGCACACCTTCCTGCAGCAAACTCCATGACCGCTACAATGATGGCCCTTGCGCACTTATTAAACTGATAAACACGCCGACACGCCCGAATGCCCCGACACGTCCCAACGCAGCCCGGCGCTCCCCGACACGTCCCCAACGCATCCCTGACACATCCCCGACGCATCCACGACGCAACCTGGAGCTAGTAAATTTACTAACCCAAGAATTCACTACTTAATCCATCTTTCACTAAGCCAAATTTGCTAGTCCTAGCGCTAGACTTAGTAAATTAAACTTACTAAGGTTAGTAATTCTCGGCCTGCTGAAAAGGAGCCTGGAAAAGCCTGTACTGCGTGCGGTTTGAGAATTTGCTGGCGCGGCTTCTGAATGTTCCATTTTCCAAGAAAGCTCCCCATTCTGCAGGTGCAAACCACGAGTGTTTGAGCAGGGTCTTGTGAGTCATCGCAAGCAAACTACTA